TAAGACATTCTCAACAGTAAGAGAGTGGTGAATAGGCTATAACAGTGAATAATCAAACGAATATATAATACTAATTTAGGTGAACACTTGTTGCACTTTCAATCGCAAGATGTAGCCTAGGCCTATTCCCTTAGCCCTTCGGGTTTCGGGGAATACACATTGCTAGAATCATTGAAGATGAACAGGTATTCATCTCAATAGTATGAAATATTTGTTTAGTAGAATTGATTATCCTACACTAAGTGTATTAAATGTATAATAACATCAAAAAATAAATTTGATATTTATTGGCAAAATGAATAACCGGAGGATATTGTGATGATATACTCCGGGCGGAGGATATCGTGACGATATACTCCGGAAAACCCAATATGCGGAGGATATTGTGACGATAACTTTGCTTGTTGATTTCCCGCCAAATTGACTCTATTTGGCATGAAATTCATTTTGCAATGATATTATACATTTAGTACACTCCTTGTAAGTGTAGGATAATAAGAACATCCTATGATTTTTTTCAGAATATAATTTTAATCTACTCGGTGATATTGATATATGCCCTCGTTCGCTTTGCTCACTCGTGCAGATATCAATATCACCTCGTAGATAAAAATGATATTCCTCAAAATCATAGGATATCCTATAAATATTTGCGTAATTATATCCTGTAATATATGTTGTCTCATAGTTTTTTCTTTACTGTTATAGGAGCTTGTATCTATCCGATGACGTCATATTCGGGGAGTTGTTACTACGCCCATAATAATGCAATAACCCCGGCAGAGATTGCTGGAAAGGGGAAGGATTTCCTCGCTGTGCAAATAGAATATTGTGGATACGTCTCTGCATATCCTTTTACAATACGCAGTCAAACAGATATGAATTACGTAAATGACAGGGTATGGCTTTCTGCTATCAAATTAATTCATTATCTACCGGGTATGAAAGGTTTAATTTGCACTGGGGTAACTTGTATATCCTCAAGAGAATATTGTCTCTTTAGAGCACGTCAAAAGTTCAATGAAGCACAAAAAGCTGAAGGGGACAGCGGGGGCGAGCAGCGGGGCAAGAGCAGTCATTTTTGACGGCTTGTGAATATATTTTGCTAGCGTTCTTTCCCATTGAACCCATGTTTATTGAGACGAGAGACATTGATTCTCTGAAATTTTATTGATATTAACTTTAAATGAATGTCTAAATCGCAAATGTGCTTTTCTCTGTTGAAATTATGATTATGTGTAGTCATGGGGCAAGAAGGGCCCCCTGGGGCAAGAAGAGCCCCCTGGGGCAAGAAGGGCCCCCTGGGGCAAGAAGAGCCCCCTGGGGCAAGAAGGGCCCCCTGGGGCAAGAAGGGCCCCCTGGGGCAAGAAGAGCCACAGAGATTATTATTATCTTTTAAAGAACGAAAGTAAAGGGAGGCGTAACGTTATTTATTTGAAGTAACATAAATTTAATCTGCATTTAGACTTGACATTCGTTAAAATATGTTGAAAAGTTATAATGGAACGATTCTACTCCGAGTGGAAGACGTTTGTGCATTTTTAATAACTTTGAATTGGATAGCATTCGATGAATTTCGTGTCGAAGCATCGATTGACATTGCCATTGTTTGTGCTGGTTCATCCTTTGAGTTTGAAAATAAATGTGTGAAAATCTTGATTTTTTGTAAAAACACGGACTTTATAAAAAATGGATTTCTTCAAGTACCTGTACCGGTAAAAACAGCCTGCTCCTTGACGTTTAACAAATTAGACGATGAAACCTCGTGCTTCTATCTATATGGCTCTATATATTACTTGATTTACATATTTTCATAGATCACGTGATATGTCCAGATCTGGGAGGATACGGTTCCAGTTCGACATTTTGCCATATATGAATATGTCGTGATTACAAAATTAGAACAGCCGCCATTTGTTCACTTCAGAATTTGAATCGCGAGTTTTGGTCTTATCTCCTGATAAAAATTCCAAGACATACAAGAAGTGATCGAGATTTTGGACTGTTGATCATGAATTGATAGTTATTTACGATCTGAAAATAACGACATCGACGTTTTCATTATTGGAAAGTATCGAGTTGCCTACTTAGGAGCCCGGGCTTAGGAGCCAATCCCCCTTGTCCGTATACAAAGAGTATTGTTCAGGTTCTGATAGCTTTGTCAGTATTGACATTACTTATTAATGGTTTGGTTCCTTACTTTTAGGTGTCCAGTGGTAATCTGTTTGACATTGGTGTCACGACGTTCGATGACGCTACGTGGACGTATTATGACGGATCTCCCCTAACGGCCACATAGTAAGTTATCCATGACGACCAAAGTAAGCCGGATGTTAAAGAAGGATGTACCCCTGGGCAAAACTGTATTTTAAATATCATCATTAAGGTATGAGGTTCCATATCCATCCGCCAAAAGGTATGACCCCTATATAGTCCATTTAAAAACTTGTGGTTTTGTTCTAAATAACGCCATAGTTGGCTTCTAGGGTACCTAGTATGCCACTATTTGGTATCAAAATAAAGAGGAGGAGTTCAACTTTCATTTGAATTACGAAAATAGCGATGTAGGTCAAAAATAGTTCCGACGTGAGCATGTTTATTACGCGTTTGCCCATCATATCAGAATTGAGGAAGTGGTAGCAAACGCGAGTCACAATAAATGGACGCTGATATCTCAAAAAGTAACCTGACTCCCTATAATTTGATGTAGATCAATCGAACCCCTATATGAACAGGTACATTTTGATATATAACACTATGGGGGGTAAGCGTTTTATAGTTGGTCACGAACGCCATATGTGCAAAGTATTGTTATGAATTTTCGAATTTGGTGTTGGATTACGGTACTCATACCTTAATATGAGGCCTAAAATTGTCTGCTAGTTGGCCAGAGACCAATATTCTAGCAGATTTTGAGAACAGAATCGATTTTTTCGTTCTGCGTAGGGCAAACAATGATTTGAAATCACTTTCAACCATTCTGTGAGTATAAGAATGGTCATAAGAGGCCCGTGGAGGGTCTGGAATGAAAGAAAGCCCTCTGAAATTCCGTCAAAATTGCAGGTTATTTCTTCATTTTTTGCTAAAATTACATGATTTTCAGGGCCCATATCTCAGTGAAATTGCTACAATGTAGCGATTTTTCATTTTTACAGGCTAGATACACGTGTCAGGTCGACAGAAACAGTAAGCATGTGTGATTTTCAAATTGCTACATTGTAGCAATATTTATTTCAAAATACAGGTGTCAGGGAAACTGCAATTTAGTTAGATTTGGGCGAAAATGGCCAAATTTCAGTCAAAATCCTCGGGACACAGGCCCTTTGTCTTAGATTTAGTCAATGATGCAACTCTTAGTAGAAGGTGTGCCATATAGGGAATGAAAGCTGTTTGTCAGACGTATCATTTTCTTCAATAAACTCAGAGATAGTCAGGTTAGATTTGTGACGTCACAGTGGCAAAGTTAGACCAGCATATTTAGACGTATTTGGGGTAGGGCAAATTAACCCTTTCTAGCCTAAATGGATAAATTTTTCACATATTCAGCCAGTTCCGACGTTTTTATGCATTTTTGAACTAGAAATGATATTTTCTGCCAAAAAAAGTTGCAGAGACAAAAATCAGTGTGATGTCATAACACATTAAGGTATGAGGTTCCATATCCATCCGCCAAAAGGTATGACCCCTATATAGTCCATTTAAAAACTTGTGGTTTTGTTCTAAATAACGCCATAGTTGGCTTCTAGGGTACCTAGTATGCCACTATTTGGTATCAAAATAAAGAGGAGGAGTTCAACTTTCATTTGAATTACGAAAATAGCGATGTAGGTCAAAAATAGTTCCGACGTGAGCATGTTTATTACGCGTTTGCCCATCATATCAGAATTGAGGAAGTGGTAGCAAACGCGAGTCACAATAAATGGACGCTGATATCTCAAAAAGTAACCTGACTCCCTATAATTTGATGTAGATCAATCGAACCCCTATATGAACAGGTACATTTTGATATATAACACTATGGGGGGTAAGCGTTTTATAGTTGGTCACGAACGCCATATGTGCAAAGTATTGTTATGAATTTTCGAATTTGGTGTTGGATTACGGTACTCATACCTTAAAACATTAGACCTATTTACCAAAATATCAAAATTGACCTAAAAATAAATTATTTATAAAATGCTTTATAAGTGTTCAATATCAAGATGGATAACCAAATCAAAGACACAGCCGAGGACTGCGACTCGCATCATTTTTCACCGCGGTGAAACTGAGAAATTCAGGTTTTTTAAATGCCTCTTAGTGTATGCCGTGACGAAGAGATTACTCAGTAATCCATTCTTCATATACTGATAAGAAAATAAGCAGTTGTCCATTTTAAGTTGAAACAGTAGCATGCATTTGATTTTACTTAAAAACCTGTGCATAATTCAACTTTACCATACATTTGAAGATTCTCAACGAGTTTCTGAATATCCATAGCTTGATTGAAAATTTGTGAGAATTATGTGATAATAGAATATGTTCATAAGGAGAACATTAGATTCGAAGTGCATTCTCAGTGGTATAACGCAATGCGCAGCTTCTATTGGCAATGGCATTAACGCAGTTCGGCTGCAGATCGTAGACAAAATGTCAGATAGTGTATACTATATTCGTGTTCTTATTGTTTCAGGAGAAGAAAATGATCCTCCAGACCATCACTTTATTTAAAAAGAGACGTAAATCATGCAATAGCCACGCACCATCTCATTCATCTTCTACAGTACCCCAAACTCATCAATTGCTAATCAAATCAAAAGATCCATCAATCCTTTTTAGTCATGTAATATCGATATTTTAGTCTATTTGTATTATCTCGCTCTTGAAGCTATCGTGATTTTAACGAAAGGGTGTCCCGCTCCCCCCTCTACAGCCAAAACCAAAATATATGATATGGTGTGATATATCATTGGAAAGCTAATTCAAAGTTACATTGATTTGCATTAGCTGATACCTGTCAATCAATTTTGCTTTGTAGCCTCGTTTCGATTAACGCAAGTCGCTGTCTGAAGCTGTGTTTTCGATTTGATTGTACACCGTGAATATGTTTTATTGACCTTTGTGACTTTAGTTGTTGGGTTACGTGCATTATTCTTTAATGGTACACATTCTTTCAGTTGGGACACAAGCCAACCGAATGCAGGTGATGGTCGCTGTGTCGCTATGATACCGGGTGGACTTTGGAAATCCATAGGATGTGATGATACTGTAAGATACTTTGGATGTGACAAGAAACCACCAGTGACAACAACAACATCTGTTTCGACCTCAACTTCAACATCTGCACCAACCTCAATTTCAACAACTGTAGCAACATCAACTTCAACAACTGCGCCAACCTCAACTTCAACACCCATAGCGACCTCAACTTCAACATCTGCACCAACCTCAACTTCAACAACTTTGGCGACTTCAACTTCAACAACTGCACCAACCTCAACTTCAGCAACTGCAGCGAGCTCAACTTCAACATCTGCACCAACATCAACTTCAACAACTGCGCCAATCTCGACTTCAACATCCATAGCGACCTCAACTTCAACATCTGCACCAACCTCAACTTCAACAACTTTGGCGACTTCAACTTCAACAACTGCACCAACCTCAACTTCAGCAACTGCAGCGAGCTCAACTTCAACATCTGCACCAACATCAACTTCAACAACTGCGCCAATCTCGACTTCAACATCCATAGCGACCTCAACTTCAACATCTGCAACAGCCTCAACTTCAACAACTTTGGCGACTTCAACTTCAACAACTGCACCAACCTCAACTTCAGCAACTGCAGCGAGCTCAACTTCAACATCTGCACCAACATCATTTTCAACAACTGCGCCAATCTCGACTTCAACATCCGTAGTGACCTCAACTTCAACATCTGCAACAGCCTCAACTTCAACAACTTTGGCGACCTCAACTTCAACAACTGCACCATCAACTTCAACATCTGCACCAACCTCAACTTCAACATCTGTATCAATCTCAGCTGAACCGAGCTCTTCAAGTTCAACATTTGCACCAAGTTCAACATCTGAAAGTAGTTCATCGGGATCAACATCTGCGTCCATAACGAGTGAATCATCTAATGCAGATACAACGCCACATACAACTGCCATACCGACGACACCTCTGCTCAAATCCTCAACTACACCACCTATTCCAACTGCACAACAGGAAATGAAGGAAAAAGCGTACAAACCAGCTAAAAGAATAGAATTCAAGGCGGAGGAAGCCAAGCTCGCCGCTGTGATAGGAATACCGCCGATAACTGCAGTTATCGTACTATTGGTGGGAGTCGTTGTCCTGGACGTACCAAGAATTATTATGGATTGTCGCAGGGGTGTGTTGAACATTAAAAAGTGGATAACATCACATGCGTATCCTAAAAATTCGGCTTGCGAAGAAGGTGCATCCATCACTTTGTAGATAATAACTACCAATTTCAAATAAAAACCATCAATTTCAGACTTCAGATGACAGTTTTTTAAACTGGTCGTCGGATTTCAATTCTAATTGCAGTTTCAGAAAACCTGCAAAACATCGTTGAATACGGAGCCCATGACAATTTCATTATGTTTGAGGTCAATGTTCTACCAAAGGCACATCAGTGATTTTCATCAAAATTCACCTAAAATTCAATTCGATGTGCTTTTGAAATTATGATAGAGACATTGAGATTGTATTTGTAATTGTTCAAACGGTGGTTAATAAGAATTTGCTACACATTTATTACCCGCATTCTACTGTCTACAGACAATAGGTCCACTGAACATGTCAAACAGGGGATATCAAGAGGGAAGAGAAAGTTGTTTTCACTCTTCGGACTTGAACATAAATCGGGAGGATTACCACCCCTTCTAGCCATAAAACTATACAACAACTTTGTAATACCTACCATGTTATACGGTGATCAGATCATTAATTACAATACACGGGAATTTCAAATGATGGAAGTTACCCAACGAGAGATCGGACGTAGGGTCTAATTTTTTCCCAGCACCGCTAGCAATCCAACATCAATTATGCCAGTCGGATTGACAATACAGTTAAGTCGTACCCTTTGCATTCGTTTGACTTCACTACTTAAAAGAGAGCTTCGTCTTCTAGTTTAACTAGACTCTGCATGCAGGGTAGTTAAGTCGAGAATAGACTACGATAGGCTGTTAATGTTCTTCGGGATTCTAACACTACCAATGACAAATATATATAAGCAACTTTTAATGATGAGACTAACGAGCTTATTTTTCCAAGGAGACAACTGGGACTCACCCATATCTAGAATGTGGGATTGTGTCACTAAATATAATCTTGTAGATACTGTGATGGAAATGATAAGAACATTAAAATTCCCCACGAAACTGGCATGAAAGAAATAACTTCAACACAATATGTATAAACGACATGACTTATGTGTAAATATCTGTGACATTAATACTACGTCTCTAGGACTCTTAAGCCAAGTGTGTGGTGGATTCTGTAAAATAAAACCAGAATGTCTTAAATATGTGAAACAATGATGCAACTTTCCACGGATTGCCACGACCTCCGTATAAAAAACAATGGTATAGATAGTATATGTATATGTTGCGATTTGTATGAAGTTGAGTCAGTCAACCATTTTCTATATTAACATGCACGAAATGGCATGAAGACCACGTCAAATTAAGGCTGATAACACATAAATATAAACATGCAAAAGACAATATAAACGAAATAGACATTTTATTTGCCTACCCAGGTATAGACGTTTCACAAGATGACATGATAGACATTGCTCAAATTATAGAGAACATGATGGCATGGGCTTCCATCCAATTGAAAGCCCATGATGATGGAAAAACGATCTTAAATCATATATTAACTAATTACTAAAGGCCAGCTAACGATGTAAATAACGATTTCTTTGCACATTACTATTTCCATCGATTACGTCGATGATACATCACTGATTAAGTATATGTACAATGTAAATATGTTTGTAAAAAGTACTCCTCTGTTTAATTACAGGCAAATAAAGTAATAATAATAATACAAAATGTAGCAATTTCCTATTCCTGAAATTTGTTTCGGACCTAGTTTTTGGACACTGATATCGGTTCAAGAAAATATAACAATCTTTTTTGGTACAAAAATATCCTAGTGTAACTTTTGGTCTCACTAATACTCCCAGAGTTATGATGAAAACATGTGTTTATATATAAGGGTTATGTACTGGGAGGTTTTGGATATGGGGTTTATCCAGAGGGAGATATGCATATCTACCTGAGGGACCGTAGGGACCGAAGGTAGATGGCATATCTCACGAGGGATGAACCCAATATCCAAACCGACCATACATAACTGCTTTATCCTGTACCAAGTAGAGTTTTCAGTGAAATTACCGGAAGCGTGAAGATATGCACCGAAGCGGGAAGATATGTACCGAAGCGGGAGATATGGAGGTTCTGGATATGGAAACCTCAAAAACGGGATACGGCCATACGGGATATATCTTACCAACTTATCTCCCTAAAACTCTACTTGGCATAGGATAAATATATTTATACCACTCTAAGTCCAATTACAGTTGTATAACATGGGTCTATAACAACGATATACAGTGGAGAGTGGTATATCGTCATCATATACAACTCCTCCGTATACACTCCAGCGTATACCACTGTAGAAGTGCATTCTGGGAACTAATGAATAAAAAAATCATGAAAATTTTCATGATTTCCTAGATCAAGTGACGTCATAAATGGTTCCGGCATGATTTGCTAGAATCAAGCCACGTCATAAATGGTTCGAGATAAACATCAGCATTATTATTATTCAATGCTTTATTGTACTAAAAATCCCTTTCGGGTGAGTGTACAGCAAATAAACATGATAAAATAAAACTAAAACTATGCATCCCAGATAGCACAACTCTGATGGGCCAACGTTGGCTGTCGTGGTTGGCCCACCGTCGCTATGTCCATCGGTCCAACGTTGGTCCACCGTCGCTATGTTCATTGGCCCAACGTTGGTCCATTGTTGGCCCAACACGATTTCAAGCTACGTTGGCCCATAGTTGGCCCACTAATAGTAAGAAGACTGGTTGGCCCGACGTTGGTCAACAGTTGGTCCGACAATGTTAAGAGGGATGTTGGCGCATTGGCGGTCAAAACTGGTTGGCCCAACGTTGGTCAACAGTTGGGCCAACTTTGGCCCAACGATTACGTATATGTTGGTCCAACGTTGGCTGTCGTGGTTGGCCCACCGTCGCTATGTCCATCGGTCCAACGTTGGTCCACCGTCGCTTTCAAGCTACGTTGGTCCATTGTTGGGCCAACCATATTTTCTTTCGGTGGGCCAACGTTGGGCCAATGGACATAGCGACGGTGGGCCAACCACGTCAGCCAACGTTGGTCCAACATTGGCAGCCACCACAGAACCAACGTTGGCCCACTGTTGACACAATATACTTTTTTGTACAGCCATTGTTGGCTCCCTGGGCAGCCAACGACAGGCCACATGAATAATTTGCCAACTGCAACATTGAGAACCAATGGTCACTGATAGCGACGTTGACCCAACGTCTTTGTGCTATTTAAGCATTCAGTACGGCATGCAAATGTGTTCACATATTATATCCGTTTTTCATCAATAAAATATGGTGGCTTGTTTTTCCATACTAAATATATTTGGTAGCCTTATAAGTGGTTTCAACTGTATTACAAGGCGAAAATCCATATTTTTGAGGTGAACAACATTATCAGATAATTTTGAAAGAAAATATTACAAAAATTTACCTTAATTTTTTTTAATGACAGCTGGTATGTTTTCTTCTATTTTTAAGCATTTGCAATGATTTATCGATAGGTGGCTTCCTGGTATTAGCGGCAGCCAACAACGGGCCAACGTTGGCCCAACTACAATTTGCCAACTGCAATTTTGCACTGATCGATAGGTCCCAGATAGCACATCGCCAATGGGCCAACGTTGGGCCAACAACTACGCATCTGTTGGCCCAACGTCGGCTTGAGCGGTTGACCCAACGTCATTTTGTCCAGCGGGCCAACGTTGGTCCAACAGTGGCAAAAAATTATATTGGGCCAACGTTGGTCCAATGTTGGCACAGATAGCACACCGCCAGTGGGCCAACTTCGGGCCAACAACTACGCATCTGTTGGCCCAACGTCGGCTTGAGCGGTTGACCCAACGTCATTTTGTCCAGCGGGCCAACGTTGGTCCAACAGTGGCAAACAATTATGTTGGCCCAACGTTATAGTTCCGCCCTAAAATTGCTAACTTCGGACCTGATATCATTGTCGGCCCAACGTTCTACCGACCCTAAAATTGTGTCAATTACCAACGTGGTACCAACGTTGGCCCAACGTTAGTGTACCACCCTAAAATTACTATAATTTGGGGCTAACAGAAGTGTGATTTGCCGACCTGAAAATAACGTCGGCCCAACGTTATAGTTCCGCCCTAAAATTGCTAACTTCGGACCGAAATAGACACGCTGCTTGCCAACCTTGCACCGACATCGGTACAACGTCAGCGTACAGCCGTAAAATTGCTGACTTCAGGCCAACAGAAAAGTGTACCTTGACGACCTCGTACCAACGTCGGCCCAACGTCAAAGTACCGCCCTAAAATTGCTAACTTCAGACCGAAAAAGATGTGTCATTTGCCAACCTTGTACCGACGTCGGTACAACGTGAGCTTACAGCCGTAGAATTGCCGACTTCAGGCCAACGGAGAAGTGTGCCTTGACAACCTTGAACCAACGTCGGCCCAACGTCAAGGTACCGACGTAAAATTGCCGACGTTGGGCCAACAAAGACGTGCTATCTGGGATACAATTACAATAACATACAATGCAAATTTTACATGGCATATAATGACAATATAATGTGATTGACTGATTGACTTATTGAGTTGGCTATGGGATATTTTTATGGTTTTTAATTGTTATGATTGTGTTCGAATCAACTGTACTTGAACTTAGAGTGGCATAATAAGATTATATAATGGCTCATTCTGTATATCGTGTATTTTATACACTCGTGAGAATATAATATATTCACTCGTTCGCTACGCTCACTTGTGAATATATCATATACTCACTCGAGTATAAACACGATATACAGAAAGAACCATTATATAACCTCATAATACATGCAGTATATTATCAAGTAACCATATTGTAACATTAAAAAGAAAACGTTCATTCTAAAGAGAATTATACGTTAGTGTCGTAGTTTCAATTTTAACTCTTAGCGTTGTTGGACTTCAAAACAAACTTGAAGGATATCCGCAAATTATATAAGCTTAATACCTTTGTATGGAGTGGGTTATTTTCTTTGATATAATGAAACATCTGAGACAAAAATAAATTAATTGTCAGCTTTTAAGTTATTTTAAGCTTGTATTCCCGAATCCAAACTTTCGGTTGTCGGCTACCGAATTAGTCTACTGTTTTATGACTCATTTAAATATGTGGGGAATAGTGGCAAGTACTATTCATGAGCTGCCCATAAGATAGTAGGTTGGCCCGGTAGCCGGCAGCCGAAAGTTGCAATCGTCCGAAGGCCCTCGGCGTATTCATCCGCCATTCATAAGTTGATTAAACAACACTATTTGTGTTTTGTACATGTGAGTTGTGAAAATTGTAGATCTAAATATATAGGAGTTCTTATCGAACAATTGACGTTAATTATTAGGTATATAGTAATTGTATTTATCTCTTATTGGACACAATAACAATGCACAGAAATTAAAAACATATTGGTATTTCGATCTGTTCTAATTCGACATCCACTGCCTTGTCTTCACACAGTAGGAATCAATTATGTTTCCAAAAAACAAAATGTTGTAATCGACATAAACATGCTGTATTCCTTGCATCTATTTATTGTCATCTAGATTGACACTAGCATATATTGGAGGTTTCGCGCGACGGTATACATGTAGCTAAAACGTATACGTTTTAATAGAGAGTAACTAATGAATAAACTGGTTATTTTTCCCGGGGGTTTACTGTATATAATGGTCATCTTTTTAATGGTAACAATATAATTTGAAATAAATACATATACACCTTTCTCTATATTATTTTAGAAAACACATCAGAGAAACAGTCGAATAAGGAGAGGCCGTGGAAGTAGGGCCCCTGGCATAAACTTCTACCAGTTCAAGATCCTTTTCAATGATTTATGGGCACCTTCAACTGTTTGAATCAATTATGTCTCTTTTTTGTTTGTATTTCTTTTAAATGTTAAACAATAAATGAAACTAAGACAGAACAGAAAACATTTTTATTTGTGTTTTTGGTGAGGGGTGCAATCCTACTCCATTCAGATAATGGTCTAGTATAGCCTGACATCTATCTTCAGAATAGCAAGGTAAACCATTTACAACAGTGTCAGTAGTTTCAAGCATATGGTCAAACTCCGACTCGAAAATGATAATATGTGCTGACTCAGCACTTTTGAGCCTGCTGTGCAAGGGATCACAAACTTTTTTAAATGCCTATGGTCTTTCTTTGGCATGATCAAATAAAACAAGTTGGGAAATATTGATATTAGATTCACTTTTGCTAGGAGAACAAAACTAGATATTGTTAAAATCTAAGTTGACATTTTATGTAAGTAAATTTTGCATGATTCGTAATATTGTTCTTTATACAGGGTGTTCCAAAAGTAACAGGACTGGTGCTGGTATTTTGTCAATTTTGCACTGAGTGTCTACAAATTTTCACAAATTGTACTTTGAAGTATTGCAACTAAAATTGTATAGTTTCAGAAAAAATGATGAAATGCTAGAAGAGTTGTGGTTACTATAGTAACATGACATCACAATACCCGGGGCAACTTTTTTCTGAAAATGTGATATCTAACATTTTTGTATCACTGAAGAAAATATCTAATTCACCTATTATAATACAACATTTCTTGTTTATTTTATTAGTTGCTTTGTTGTAAAGGTGTTGCTATAAAACTCAGATTCAAGTATAATTTCATTATAATAATATTTATTCAATTTCCTTGAATATCACTATAGTCCATTTGTCACCCCTATACATACTATAGTGAACCTATGAATTGTTAAAAACACGATGTTTTATGATTAATTTATAATAACAAGGGTTTTCTGAAGTGATTTGACTGGGTTGGACAAAAAGTTAGTTTGGGGAAAAAAGTATAGCGGCTAATTAGGGAGGGGTGCATTGGCTTAACATGGCGTTGACTATTGACTTAGCGTCAGGATACCACCATGTACCTGGTATGTTACTATGGTGATAGATACAAAAATTTTCCCCAACGTTAATTTTTGGGCAACCCAGCTAAATCACTCCAATAAACCCTAATGATAGTATTTGCACAGAAAAACATCGTGTTTTTAAATATTCATACGTTAAGAAAATGACAAATGGACTACTATGAATTACAGTCTGAACAATTCATGGTTGAGTTTTTAAAAAGACCCAGTTTGAAGCCAGTCATCCACCTTGATAACGCGCCTGCCCGCAGGTCACCATTAAAGACCATGCAGCCTTAGAGGAGCTAGGTCTTGAGTTCTAAAACCATGCACCATACTGTTCTGATCATGCAATATCCAATTTTACTTACATGGAGAATGGAATGCTAAGCAGTGCTGTAAGATATTTAAAAATGAAAATGACCTTCTCCGAGTTGTTCAATCGACCATGCGTGACATGTCCTCAAATGGGTTCACTCATGTGTTTGAGTCATGGATACAGAGTGCTACTCTTCTACTGACCAAAGATGGGCCTATTTTTCAAAGTATATAGGATACATAAGAATATCAAATTATGTAAAACAAATGTTATTCCTACCAGTTGTTGCATTTTAACTTTGATATGGGATGTACAAAATGCTTAATGTCTCTTTCTGTCTTAATGTAACTTACTGCGTGGAATGTTGCCCCGGGTATTGTGATGTCATGTGACCATAGCAACCATAACTCTATCCGAGTTACATATCTTTCGTCGAAACTTTGCAGTTTTAGTAACGATACATGAAAGTACATTATGTACAATTTTGAAGACGATTGGTGCATATTTAACAAAATGCCAGCACCAGTCCTGTTACTTTTGGAACACCCTGTATATTACTAGTTTTCTTTTTTCAAAATGATATCGCGTCATCGCCTTGGTTACTATAGCAACCGTAGAATGTTAATTAGTAGACGAATAAACATGAAACCTTGACAGTGTAAGGGAATAAGATGGGGGCACATACGTACCAATCATGAGCAAACTTGGTTCATTATTTTTTATAATTAGATATATTTGTGCAAAACTTTTTGAACAACCTTGTATATAAATTGGCGAGGAAATCATAAAATACTATGTCCGTGTCACAAAACTTTTTTGATGCCCATGGACTTACTGGGCCTTATTCAAATACTTATCTCGAGTTGAGTTTTACTTTTAAATATAAAAGTGATTATTTCAATCGAAAAATATAAACGTGTAACGATATCAC